ACGACTGAGAAATGTGAAATTAATCTCTTATATACTCAGAACCGGTACTACTGTACTTGGAACTTATTATACAATTTTAAATTAAAACTGTTTTCCTATGACCTAAGTTAATAAAATAAAAGAAGATGCACTATTTACTTCCAGCCTTATATTTCCTTGATAACGGCGAAAGGATATACACTCGTGGACATGCATATCTTACCACTATAGTATTTTAAATTTTTTTTCGGACTTTTTCCTTCGTTCGGGATTTTCTTAAATTTTGTTGTTTTATGTTTTTAGTAAGCATAAGTAAACTAAATTATATTATCTAATTATAATAATAGTTTTTAATTTATTATGAGTTTAATGAGTAAAACACAAATTAGAGTGTCTGTGCTTATACAAAAGATCCGATTTCATTGTTTTTAAAGTAATATACTAAACTTCGTGTTTCAATTAAAATAAAATAAACAAAATATTAATTTCAATTATAGTGTAAATGAAATTAAATTAAAAAAAAGATATATATACTTTTTTCATCGCATGTCAATCTCTTACTTTTCGAACTCATTTTGTAAAGCTCACTATCTTCCAACTGATTTATCTATAGCTGAATGTGTTTTGTTTTATAATATTTTTTATTAATATGATGTCATTAGCTTATTTCTAAATAAAAAATTTCAAACCGCAAAAGGACCGCTATAAAGTGTTGTCAAATATGTACAATACTTGGAAATTTTAAGTGATAAGATTTGCGTGGCCGCGAGTGTATAATCTTCTGTAGTATTTCAAAACTTTCAATTTTCCCAAAGTAATTACCTATCAAAGTGTCTTGGTCCTGTTACAAGAGGGAAATTTCAAATATCCAAAAATTAAATTAATGGCCAAATCCAATAAGAAGCAGTATATTTGAAAGACGAACGTATTGATTCATACTTACCTACAAGCACCGATAGATATGGATGGTATGTGGCTTTCGCGCGGAAGAAATCATTTGATAGTATAATATTTACTGCCCTTCTTTCCGCTACTTAACGCCGGTGGGAAATCACTGACGTACACTTGTGTGCGTATGCTTCGGTGATGTACATTACTTCAGACCCTTTCTAAAGTACAATCGGCGCATTTTCTTTATTTTACGCTTCACTGTTCCCTCTAATTAAAATTAACAAAGCGACGGGCGCTGGTGTGGCTGTAGGCATCGCCAAGAAGCGACCAGCAACCCAAGACAACGGCCAATGACCGGCTGTGGAAAGAAGGTATATCCACGAATACGCCGACATATACAAAAACATGCATGCAACGTGACTGTAAATTTGTGCAAGCAGGGAAAAGTTGAAACAAATCAAAAAGTCAAGTAAAACATAATAAAATATGAGAGAAACTAAAAATACTCGCATTACGAGTATTGACACAGAGATTTTACAAACGGCTTATAAAATACTGCGCGCTGTCTAAAGTATTTAGAAACAAATGCAGTCTATGATAATATATGTCATATTGTGTACAACTGTATTAAAATGATGTTTCATCAATACAGGAAACTATATTATACATACATATGATTAGATGTGTTCTTATAAACACACATGCGAATTCCGAAATAATTTGAAAAAAAGAGCTTTGTCCAGTTATTAATTTATATGATGGTCGTCTGCAAGCATGCATAATAAATTTTCGAACAATAATAATTAAAGAGATCATCATGTTTACTCCTTAATTATATGACAAAATCAATCGAATGATGAAAACAAACAGTATTTCTACATTTTTGTGAATCAATTGACTGGAGAAACGATTTCCGAATTCCGAATCCGAAGTATGGTATATATTACTACCGGTACTATCTTTGTAAGTAAATATTAAATTATATTAATTGTGCAGCATAAATAAACTTAACATTACAAAGAGAGAGAGAGAGAGAGAGAGAGTATTACTGCATTACTTAAAATTAAAAACATCACATTCTCGCATTTGAAATGGTTCCCTTTTCTTTTCAGTATTTCTATTTACCGCATTTCGTTTACCCTTTTCTAATTTTAATGAACATAATAAATCTTTCAATTTTAAAGCTCTTGAACGTTGCCTCTAAATTGAGATGCTGCACCGTCCTCTAACTGATGTTCCAAAAGCCACAATGGCTTCTTACATAACATATGTACATAGGAAAGAACTAAACATACCTATGTACATCAATACATACGAAAGAATATCAAATTGAACACAAATAAAATATATATGTGGTATAATGCACAAAACGTTCAACTGTAACTAATTAGTTTAAAAATCTTTCAATTGCTCATTCATATCTGATTTCTAAAGATCGAGATGTGTGTATGGTCCATTCAGCTGAGAATGAACTCACTCATATCGGGGTAAGTGCATCATTGCAGACAGCCAGCACACTTTAAAGTATCTTAATTGCCATTGGAATTTAACCCAAAAGTACAGTTATCTATAGCTATAAATATGTTTTACAGCAGTTATTCACCATGATTATTACTTTTCTTATATGATGCGCTATCAGCGTGTTAGCTAATTGCTTACATCCGATATGAGTGTTTCCTTAATTGAAGTAATTATACTCGTAGCCTAACAATATCGGATAAACGAAAATGTACCTGCTTACTATATCTCGCTGAAACTTAAATGACATTGAAAATATTTCTTCATAAACCTATAAGTACTACCCTTTGCGCATTAAGAATCATAACATGCAACACACAATTAAATGTTAAATTATATAGTTAAAGTAACATGAAAGAGTCACATTGAATCCTCAATGAATAACATGATTTGATAAATTAATTCTTAATGTTATAATGTTTTGTCCATAATACTTTTAATACTCTGTATTAGGATCGTGGGAGCATTCTGAAGCAAGAGATCGTTCACTCAGAGCTGCGCAATTACGAGAGTTCACAATGATGGATTTTGTTTTCATCTGTACCTTGTAAAGTGCTAATGCTGTTGGCCGTGTGTGTTCGATGGATGTCTTCTTCAATTTTTTTTCTATCCCAATAATTATCTGGAAATAGCTATGTTCCTTTGTGCACTTACATATAATAATTCCTGATTTAAAGAGAATTTCTTCTGAACTCTCGCTTATCAAAGAAGTGATATAAAACTGCCTTTCCTGTGTCAAAACTGGAAGACGAACGAATTGAACAAACAACTTTAACTCAAATAGATTAGCAAACAGAAAAAGTTCGATTTTGAAAATGTTTGGATTACTTTGTTGTTGCTTTCAACCTTACATTTTTTGGTAGCAGAGCGACCTGAAGCTAACCAAACATAGAAATGGGCGGCTAAAGCAAAGCAGTACTTTTGTACTGTAGAACTTTTCTAAACATAATGACAACATTGACAATATTTATTTCAGTATTTAATAGTAATTTTCACTAAGTTTTCGAAACCAGGTGTAGTGTGAGAGTATATAGAAATTTCCTTAATTTTTTTTTATTAAGAAAATTATGAATGTAGTGATGTATATATAAATGACTCATCGCAACCACAATTATAAGCCCAAAACCAAAATTTTGAATGCATAAATGCTTTTTAGCCAAATTTCCTTGATGTTGTGTCAACAGCCGTACACTAATTACAAATCTCTTTAAATGTATTTGTCACAGTTATGCGTTGCACTCCCAGACCGCATTGCATGAGTTGACTTACAAAGCCCTTTCCTGAGATATTTTTGAAATTATGTATCCACATATCATTTGTCAGCCAGAAATGTTCCCCAGGAGCGCAATGCTTTTTTAGCGCCTTCTACAGTTCGCTTCTGCAGCATCGCATGCGAACGCTCTGCAGCAGCCTAAAATAGGCGACAACAAATTTATTTCACATTTCGGAGCTATTTTCGGAATACACAAATGCAATGAAATGGTGTACGCATAGGAAAGTTGCCGCATTCCCATTTGAGTGGCTTGGGGAAATGGCGACGCTGTGCCCAAGTGTTAAATTGTAGAAACTCCAATCGATCGCAACCGGAAAACATTTTTAGCTGACACCGCACACACACACATATGTGTGCGCAAATACATTTAGTTTAAATTTAGCTCTAAATCAGGGCAACGCAGAGTTAACAACTGTGTGGTGGAGGCTTAGGCAGGCAATAAACTGTCATTTCAACCATAAATACATGTGTACATACTTATTACATACATATACATATATATACTGTATATATCTGTATGTAGGTGTATTGACGAGTCACAAACCATTGATCCTTCAAAGTCATCGAATGATTTGCTTATGTAGAATTACATGAAGTCACAATACAGTGCAAAGCATTAGGTCATAATGCCTTTCCACTTTATCCCTACAATAATACACCCTAGTTTTAATTAATTTGATTCCTTGAGTGTTACATTTATTCGTTCACCTTTCATTTCAAAGTAACAATACAAAACTCCTTTTACAAATTCGACATCATTCTTGGTTAATTTTCAGCTCAGGAATGACAGGTTATCATTCAAAATTTAAGTACTCGTAAGTACTTTGTTATTCTATTACATTTTATAGAATGAATCAGCAAACGTGTTCTAGTTACTTCAAGTAAAGCGAGTATATGGAACGTCACTCGTATTCACTTTCTGAATAAGGTACTAGTGTAATTTATGCCCAAATATAGGTACAGTCTAAAACGCACCACATGCTATAAATATATAATATATGTACACACACATTCGCGCACTTTTAAATTTAGTCATTGAGCTCGAAAGAGCCATTCCAAATGCATCTAATATAACTTAGCGAATTAAACACATAATTTTGCTAATTGCGACAAAATATATATATTTTTCGCTACTTGAGTAAAATCTTAAATGAAATAAAATCAGTAAATGATAATAGATTGTTTCATAGTTCAATAACAAGCACGATCTTAAAACGTTTGAAAGACAAAATGCTTAAAAATGAAAATATGTAAAACACCAACACGATGCGTTTTTTTATTTTGTTGAGAACTCTTATGAAATACAATTGCGGTATTACATAATTTATTGTGTTTTTAGTTTTGGGAGATCATCTCAGAGGAACATGGAATCGACAGCAATGGAATTTACAATGGCGACAGCGATTTACAATTGGAACGTGTCAGCGTTTATTACAATGAAGCTTCAGGTAAAAAAACCCTTAAATATAAATATTAATCTATAAAATGAGATTTTCATCAGGTGGCCACCCCGAGAGTTTTAAATTCTGTATTTAGTGGGGTTGTCATGGTCAGTTTAAGTTCCAGGCGATAGTCATTCACACAAATGAAATTCAAACGTTTAATTTGCCGAAGAATCATCGTAGAAACGGCTGTAAGAGGTTAAAAGAAATCTAATCTTTCGTAGCTGATATAGGAAATTTTAATTTGTGTATTTGGAAATAAGATACTATTAATAACTAATTTTACAAAGGCCCAGATTCATGAAGAATTGAATATTTTTAGTGACTTATGTATTCACCAAATCCTTTATAAATTTATTAACTTAAAATGATCTCAGTAAATAACGATATTTTCGGAGAAAAAATAATATCACACAGTAGCTAGATTTGTAATACAAGTACGTATGTAAAGAAATATGTGAGCTAAATCTTAAGAGCTCATACTTTTCCTGTTGTTTCTTTATGTTGTTGTGTTATTAATCTCAAAAGTTAAAAATTAATATACGGATCACACAAAAGTTCGGATTTTAGCGTAAACTATAAGGTACGGTTTCACAAATAATCAAATAAATAATGAAAAACTTAGCTTTTGTTTATGTTTACATTAAATTTATACCATACTGGGTGAATGTTAGTTTATGTGTCGGCCTCCAGCTTTCAGTTTTGGCTATCAACACCAGTGAGATGGAAAAGGGCGTCACAATTTTGACTAAGAAAGTGGCGATACTCTCAATCGCTGTCGTTGACCCATAGTGTTTGTCACAAACTTCCTTGTTTGGTCAACGCTAAGCATGTTGCCTACCGCTTTGGTTGCAAAGGCATGTGCGCACATGCTATGCATTTTAAAAACCTCAATTGTGATTTAAGACACAGCTACTCACAAAAATAATTGAAATGAATATTAGCACGTCGCCAAAGTAGAAGGGGCGACTATGAGGTATTAAACTAGGCTTAACAATTTCCAACGCAGTGCCCAAATATTTCTACATCATTCCATAAAAACACTCTCCCATCTATTCCAAACAGTGTCTAAGATATGCCCCTTTCATTTTCTACCCGTACAATAAATACTATCGATTTTCATGGGAATTACTCATTTTAACTCTTTTGACTTCTTAATTTTTATACTCTCGCAACAAATTTGCTAAAGAGAGTATTATAGTTTTGTTCACATAACGGTTGTTTGTAAGTCCTAAAACTAAAAGAATTAGATATAGAGTTATAAATACCAAAGTGATTAGGGTGACGAGTAGAGTTGAAATCCGGATATCTGTCTGTCCGTCCGTCCGTGCAAGCTGTAACTTGAGTAAAAATTGAGGTATCATGATGAAACTTGGTACACGTATTTCTTGGCTTCATAAGAAGGTCAAGTTCGAAGATGGGCAAAATCGGCCCACTGCCACGCCCACAAAATGGCGAAAACCGAAAACCTATAAAGTGTCATAACTATGCCATAAATAAAGATATTAAAGTGAAATTTGGCACAAAGGATCACATTAGGGAGTGGCATATTTGGACGTAATTTTTTTGGAAAAGTGGACGTGGCCCCGCCCCCTACTAAGTTTTTCGTACATATCTCGGAAACTACTATAGCTATGTAAACCAAACTCTATACGTTTCCTTCAGGCATTTCCATACACAGTTCAAAAATGGAAGAAATAGGATAATAACCACGCCCACCTCCCATACAAAGGTTATATTGAAAATCACTAAAAGTGCGTTAACCTACTAACAAAAAACGTCGGAAACACTAAATTTTACGAAAGAAATATCAGAAAGAAGCTGCACGCAGGCTTTTTTAAAAATTGAAAATGGGYGTGGCGTCGGCCACTTATGGACCAAAAACCATATCTCAGGAACTACTCAACCGATTTCAATGAAGTTCGGTACATAATATTTTCATAACACCCTGATGACATGTACGAAATATGGGTTAAATCGGCTTCTTCCAATATAACGCTATTATGAATTCCATCTGATGCCTTCTCTGTATAATATATCCATCAGGAAGAAATGATGATAGTGGAATAAAACTTTACACAAATACGGTATTTGATGCGAGAGTATAAAATGTTCGGTGACAACCGAACTTAGCCCTTCCTTACTTTTTTTTTATTGACATGCATATGATTTATGCACTTTTGCAGCTGTGACGCGTTCCTCTGGTGGAAAATATGTGCCCCGTGCCATTCTTCTCGATCTTGAGCCAGGTACCATGGAATCGGTGCGCTCCGGCCCCTATGGGCAACTTTTTCGTCCAGACAACTTCGTATTTGGTCAGTCGGGAGCCGGTAATAATTGGGCCAAAGGTCATTACACGGAAGGTGCGGAACTGGTGGATAATGTGTTGGATGTAGTGCGTAAAGAATGCGAGAACTGTGACTGCTTGCAGGTAAGCGTTCCTGTTTGTTGTTGGATGTTTTATTTATAAAAATTAATGCTTTTCACCTTAGGGCTTTCAATTAACTCACTCATTGGGTGGAGGCACTGGCTCTGGTATGGGCACATTACTCATTTCAAAAATACGTGAAGAGTATCCGGATCGTATAATGAATACCTACTCGGTAGTACCTTCACCCAAGGTATCCGACACTGTTGTTGAGCCATATAATGCCACTCTCTCCATACATCAGTTGGTGGAAAATACTGATGAGACCTATTGCATTGACAACGAGGCACTCTATGACATTTGTTTTCGCACATTAAAGGTATCTAACCCAAGTTATGGCGATCTCAATCATCTCGTATCTCTGACTATGTCCGGTGTGACCACATGCTTACGTTTCCCTGGTCAATTGAATGCTGATCTTCGCAAGCTAGCTGTGAACATGGTACCCTTTCCACGTCTGCATTTCTTTATGCCCGGATTTGCGCCGCTCACTTCGCGTGGTTCTCAACAATATCGAGCTCTGACCGTACCCGAGTTGACACAACAAATGTTTGACGCCAAAAACATGATGGCCGCCTGTGATCCTCGACATGGCCGATATTTGACTGTCGCTGCCGTTTTCCGTGGCCGTATGTCCATGAAGGAGGTCGACGAACAAATGTTAGCGGTGCAAAATAAGAATAGCTCCTACTTTGTTGAATGGATACCGAATAATGTGAAGACGGCGGTATGTGACATCCCACCCAAGGGATTGAAGATGTCCTCAACCTTTATTGGTAACACAACCGCCATACAAGAGTTATTCAAGCGTATTTCAGAACAATTTTCGGCAATGTTCAGGCGCAAAGCTTTCTTGCATTGGTACACAGGCGAGGGTATGGATGAGATGGAGTTTACCGAAGCGGAAAGTAATATGAATGATTTGGTGTCCGAGTACCAACAATACCAGGAGGCCACCGCTGACGATGAATTCGATCAGGATATGAATCAAGAGGAGGTAGAGGGCGATTGTATTTAATGTTGAGACCAGAGGAATGAGGAGCGTGCGGAGTGCGGCGGGAAAGAGGGGAATAACAACATTAACTTTACGAGAACGCCTATGGCTAMCGAGAATACATTTCGATTGGCGAGAGAGATATGATAACTGCAAAATTCTTTAAGACACTGAATTATGAAGAATTAAAAATTTTGCACACTTTTCCGCTGTATACTCGTCCAAAACTGGAAAGTTAAAACTACAAAACAAAGAGTTAAAATCAAATTTAAATTAGTTTTCGCACGTAAATACAATGTTCCATTTTCAATTTAGTTTATTATGTAAAGCATCCTTGCATGTATACATGCATATGTATATGTATGTCTTCATTAGAAAAAATTTATTGGTAACTTATATTCGACCATGTTAATTAACAAATCTAGGGCACGTCTATCGCATTTCTCTGCTAGTGGTTTGGAACCCTTCATGAAATCATCAATATAGCGGTTACAATTCAAATACTCGTAATCTTTCTACCCAAAATACTATTTATTTTTTGTAGTCATTATACTATTATATACAGAATTCTACACACCATTTCAAGCATTTCATCCATTTGCCATCTTCAATCTGTTTGTACATCGATTTTAACACATCATATTTTTCTAAACAAAATCTCGTATGGATTTAGAATTCTTAGTACTAACCGACGAATAAAAAGTCATCTTACTTTAGTATGGTATTTCCTTAAGGTGTCCCGTTTTAATTATTCTATATTTTCCTAAAGTCAAGTTTACGCAGACTAAAATAGTATGCATAATTACTCAAATTTTTTTTCCATGCGAGTATAAATTCATGTATGGAAAAAATTTCCGTCGATGAATTTAAATATGTTATATATAGTTGCAAAAAATGCTTAAAACTCATACATATATGTAAACTCGCACTCACTACATACAAATTTCACAATTTGAATTTACAAAACATTAATTCGTTAGCACACCATTAACTATTTTCTAAAAAACTAAGTTACGGGCACATATAAATTCTGGAAATAAATATTCGAAAAAATATCCGAATTTAATAACTTAAGAAAAAGCAGACAAAAAATTCTTAAATACAAAAGATATTGTACTAGTTTAATAAATATATTTCCGAAGCATAATTAAACACGGTATTCTTAGCAATATTTGAAAGTTTTCTCTGACTTACTATATATAATTTGTATTTTCGCATAAAGATCAAAATCATAATTTTGTTATTCAAATAAAATTCAACTAAATAATACAATATTTGTTATATTACTCGCATAGCAGTAATGATCGATTTTATTTGGCTGAAGGCCATATGGTGGCCTAAAACAGGTAAATACCATAAACTATTTTATATAATTATAAACTATTTTTAATTAATTATTTTGTACAAATGTCTGTTGTGCTTCTGAAGAAAACCCCGAAACTAAATAGGACAAGATACAAGTTGGGAGAGAGATTAAGGGATTGTGTTTTTATGTTCTGAACATGAGGGGTATTTTTAGGGATGCACTTTTTGATTAAAATAAAAATTTCGAAACGTTTTGCTCCTCCTGCGCCATGTTGTGTTTAATCCACCGAGCATAGAAAGGGTTTTCCATAATAATATAATAAGACCAACGTTAAAATAATTCCCTCAGAGATTTTTGCATAATTATATGTATACATATGTATATTTAATATAGAATGTACAGCCGTCCCTCGCATACTTTTGTGGAAATAACTTTTATTACATTTAGCGAAAATCAAAATTCTTCATTATTTAAATGGAAATAACTAATGAATCTGCAGCAGACAATATTTAAAAATAATTTAATTGTCAATGCTGTCAATAAATCTTTATCTTACTTCGTATTAAACAGTTAAATTTGATTTTAATGATAACGAAATCCAAAATTTCCGAAATTAATTGTTCCAATTTTTTGATTTAAGAGAGTTTACTTATGTGAACATACTGCACATCAGAAGAGCTCAAATTGTTTGAATTCGTAAAACAAAGTTGAAAAAATAGTGATAATATGAGTGCGAGGGAATACGTATAATTTATAAAAAAGAGGTATTTTCTTAAAACCCTAATATGAATGAAATAATAATTACAAAAAATTACCATTATATCGCCGATAAAATGCATAGTCCCGATTTCCAAATAATTTCCTTTTCAGCATTTTCTGTGGAAAAATTAGTTTGAAAGGCTGGTCTGGCGAACTGAATAAATGAGAAACACATTGAACTTTGAAAGAGAATTCAATTTTCTATAATTATAAGATACGAGATATATAGTGGACTATAAGACATGTATTTGTCTTCTCTATAGTTAGAAAACTTAACTGAAAAGTCTATTAAGAGCTCAAACTTGGACAGGGTTTTTTGAAAGTGTTTACGAACAAAGTTTCCATAGTAGAAAATTGAAAAAAAATTATAGTTTTATTACTCAGGCAACGTATTCTTACCGAACGCAGAATATATTTTACAAATAGTTCGCCTCAGATTTTAACAACTGTAGAATCCGTTATTATTCTGTGTTCATGGCCATCTGACATCGTAACTTAATAAGAAACAAATTTTTAGACTTTTCGCAATCAGAAAAAATGTCAAAATAAATATATCTCTATTTTAAACCCTGCATGTTGTTTCTTACGTATATAATATAAAATCAATTGATTTTGTCACATCAACATCTAGTAAATGGTCTATGAATTTATAAAAACTTCCGTTTTTCGAAAGGTATTTACCCAATTGCGCATGGAACGATTCTATTAAGCTTTTAATGGTTTCGTTTTTAAGTTTTAATGGATTCGTTATAAACGGAGAATTTGGTTGCGCCTTCCTAAAAAGAAAGAAGTCATATATGTACATACATATGTTATTTCTTAAAACGGGAGTGTTAAATATTTTATGAAATATTCCTTTTTAATCCACTGTCTCTCGAAATATGCTATGAATTGTCCAAAAATGATATTTAAATTATAACTCAAAGCCTTATTTTTCAGATTAGATATCCAATTAATATATCGTTCGGTTTTAACAGCAGTAATATTAGAAATTTGCGAAACAATATTTAACTTCGACATGAACTTTGGAAGTTTTGAAGCATTCCTTCGAACTGCTTGTGTAAAATGAAACCAACATGTCTTTAATTATGTTTGTGGATAAATCTGTGACAATGCTTTTCTTATGCCATACTCAAAATCCTTGGTGAATGTTGTGGGCTTCATGTCAAAAATATTACTTTGGATGTATTGTAGTACATGGATATATGCATTCAAAGACTTGTTTGACATTAAAATGTAGATAAAAGGAAATGTCTGAAAAAAAGATATACAAATATTAACTTAACCGCAACAATATTTAAAAAATATATACTTACATGTTCATTATGAGCAATATGAAATATTAGCAGCTGTTCAAAGCTATTGGAACTACTTATCGGTACTACACCAAAAGTCCCATCTATTGAATAATGACGTGGTTCGCTAGTAGGCATATCCATTATTGAGTTACACATTGTAGGGGACACAAAAATTGAGTAACCGAAATCCTCTTTAATCACCGTACCACGATAGAATGGCAAATCATTGACATAATTTGAATTTGTATAATTCTTGCTAATTTCTGGGTTTTCAAAAATTGAAATTATGTCATGGAAATTTTGAGGTGCTTTTGGGAAGGCTTCAGATTTTATGTTTATTAATTGCCTTCGCATTTTCCCAAATTCAACCAAATGAGCAGACTCTTTAGCCTTTTTGCAATTCTCATCAATTCTTATTTTAATTTCTTTATAAATTCATATTGGGCCTCATGGTTGTGCACTAAGTTTTTATTTTTTTTTTTTACGGCAATGTATTGCATTGTTCAAATCCACAGCAATATTGACGGGACATCCACTTTGATAACAATTATAATATTTTGTATTATTTTGAGAATATTTAAATTTATAAATTTGTCCCTTTGTTGGAATATGTAATAATTTGCTGGTTTTCCTCAAACCCGGAATTATATTATAAACAAGTATATCATCACTTTCCATTTTCACGATTTTGAAGAATTAATTGAACAACGCACGTGGTTTAACAAATGACTGAACACGACATTATAACACAGTTTAGTAAACGAAATGCTGTTATCAACAACAACAAAAACAAAAAATTTAACAGTGTAACAAGAGTATCAAAAACGAAAAAAAAAACAAAAAAGATTAAAACTACTCACTGAATTAAGATGACGATGTTATTGTATTACAATAACAAGGAAGAAATAATTATATGTTGTTTAGTTTTTAAGAAAAATGTGTTCTATTTAATGTAAAATAGTACAATTTTGATCACAATAAATCATAAATATAAAAAATTATGCACGTGTGTTCTTCAATTATTTRCTTAAAATCTTGAAAATGGTCCGGTGGATGGCCATGGGAGCGGGTGGCGGCGCGGATGTGCGCAAACGCACGAACTGGCGGACGCGGATGGGAGCGGGGCGGACGCACAGCCGGAAATCAAATCTTCGTGATAACCCCAATCATATCGGTAGTTGGTTGTCACTTATGTTTAATAAAAAAAAAATAAGGCTTTATTGCACAATTGTGTAAATTTTTATAAAGGCTTTATTTCTCTTTCGAAGTGTAATAAAGCCTTTTTTGAAATAAAGGCCTTATTTCACTTTCAATAGTGTAATAAGGCCTTAAAGGCCTTATTTCACAAGGCGCTATTGCACCCTGCCAAAAAATAAGTATGATTATCTAATAAAAAAGTAAGAGCTCCAGTCTTAATGCTGACGTGTCGCAATTTAATAAATATACATATCGCACGCTAACTTCAAAAGAATCACAAAAAAATCAAAAATGTTTAAAATCAATTTCTTTCAATATATCAATTTGTAATACGATTATCTACAAAAAAAGGTTTCATTGTCTTCACTATCTTACTTAACCAAAAAATCATCGATATCTTAATATTTTCAAGTTACTGCTTTCACTTATGGAAGATAGAGTCATGTGTGAAGTTAACGAAAGTTCTTGAGGAAAGTTCTCTGATCGCCATTCACTTGGGAGTAGCCAGAATGGATTATTTTAAATATGGCTACAACAGCTCACGACTTCCTGTATTAGACCAAGTATCGCATGGGGAGCCAAAGAACATTCATTTGCAGCCGAGCTAAAGTTAAAAAGCGAACCATTCCTATTCAGGGTTGTGTCTTGGGTTTGGGACCCATGGAAAAATAATCAACAGCCTCGGATGAGAAACCCCCTTTTGATGATGACCATGGCAAACAAAATAAGGATAATGATTTGAGGGCTTGCATCTAGAATGTCCGGTCCCTTAATTGAGAAGGTGCTACTGCCCAACTGTTTGATGTCCTCGCGGAAATAAAGGCTAACATCACCGCCGCCCAAGCGATCCGCAGAACTGAACACAGAAAGTACCATCTTATAAAAGAGTGTACAGCTGCTGGCGTACGACGTACGCAGTACGTTCTTAGCAGCCGCTTTAGTTATGCTTTATCCAGTTGGATAAGCAAGGGAAGCACACCAAGCCCAGTATTAAACAAGGACAAGACGAAATATCTCCTGCCATCAAACAAACAGTCGTCGCACTCGTGACTAGGTACCCACATCACTGTTGACAGTCATAACTTTGAAGTCGTAGATAATTTCGTATATTGTGGAATCAGCATTAACACCAACAACAACGTCAGTCTCAAAATACAACGCAGAATAAAAGACAGAGGCAACGCTGGCTAAGTTATACCTCCTTAAGAAAAGAAAAAATGACTGGCGCGCTGTTGTTAACTCCGCTATAACTGCGTAAACGGTTTCTACGCTAGCAAAGAAAAGGAAGCTTGCACATATGGACAGATGGATCCAAATTTATATACATACATATATCTAGCCTTAGAACATGTTTTAACCTATCCTAACTCTGATAAAGGATTAAAAATGCATCTCTGCATTTGCATTAATTAATTATTTGTCCTAGCAACCCTTTTTGTACAACTTCCTTTTGTAAAACTAATAAACGTTCTCATTCTAGTGCAAACCACCAAACTGGTGACCTCGTGCTCTACAACATTTTTAAAAATTTTTCAACATGAGCTTAAACGATAGCACGCTGGTAACTGGTGGGGGAAGTATTGCGGATGCTGCTTCTACAAACATTTTCTTTCCACGGATCCCGCTTCCAACGATGTCGGACGATCATATCGAGACATATTTTTACTCCCTCGATTGGTTGCTCGCGAGTGTTCCTCGTAGCGTAGCAATCATCGCCGCCAACGTCCCAATTAGTAAGAAGGTAAAAATTGCGGATTCCATCACGGCATACCTGGCATTGAAAGATGACCACGTGTGCAGTATAAGCTCCGAATCTCAGCCATCGGAAGAAATTTTTGAACTACGAGCTGAAATCGCCACCTTTTCAAGGAAAGTCAGTTTACTTTTGGGTAACGACCATTCCAGGGGCCGACATCGCTCCAGTTCTACGTCGCGCAACAAATTCCTTAACCTTTTTGGTACCACGCTAAATTTGCTAGCAATACAGACGTTTCTGTCATTCCAAGGCCAATGAAGCTAATTCGAGCATACCCTACCTCAATGCAACTTTTTGCCGCAAATGGCTCACCTGTACTTAACTACGGTGAAGTCATCCTAAAGTTAAACCTTAATTTACGCCGTGAATTCCTATGGAATTTTATTATAGCTGACGTCTCACAGGCCATATTAGGCGCCGAATTCCTCGTGCACCATGGTCTAGTTGCAGACTTGCAAGGGAGGCTACCCTGCTTATTACATCGTGCCCAATAACAAGACTAACAACGCCAAGCATTTCTACAATCCACACTTAGCAGAGATTTTCAGACATCCTCAAAGAGTTTGCTGAAATCACCTGTCCGACATCACTGGGTATTCGAATTAACACATCTGTGGTTCATCGTATCATCAAGACCAGCCAGCCTACGTACACACAATCGCGACGACTGTCGCCGCAAAAATTAGCAGCTGCGTGGTCAGAATTTGAGCTGTTAATTAAACTGGGCATTTGTCGTCCAACCTGCAGTAACTGGGCGACTCTATTACACTTAATCCGCAAGGCCGACGGATCGTGGAGGCCCTTCGGCGATTATAGAGCTCCGAACGCCGTAACCATAATTCATCATAATCATAATTGCAAAATTGCTACCACGACGCCGTTTGGACAAATGACTTCACTAATATGACTTTTGAGTTAAGAAATGCCCCTCAAACAATCCAGCCTCTTAATGTTTCGAGGTTTGGACTTCGCTTTCATCTACCTTGACGACGTTTGTATTGCATCAACGCTCGTTAACGAACATAAATCCCATCTTCGCCGTTTGGGAGACTGCAACTTAAGCATCAACGTCTCCAGAGGTTTTGAGCTTGAATTCTTGGGACACTCAATCACGAAAGATGGGAACCGTCCACTTCGTAGCCGTATAGAAAGAAGCCTTAACGCAGATGGCACTTCCGACAGTCGCCAATGAATTTAAAGGTTTTTTTTATCTATGCTGAACTTTTATCGTTGATTCTTTCCAAACGCGCTGGAACATAAAGAACCACTTTTTGCCATGATCCTAGGTTACCGAAAAAACGACAATAGCAGTCTTTATTGGACCGAAGCAACTAAACGCCACTTCGAAACCTGCAAATCTCAATTTGCAAATTGCGCTATACTAGCTCATCCGCTGCCCAATGCAGAAGAAAGGTGAAGAAAATGTCGCCGCTGATCTTTTTTCACGAATACAATCGCTGGCCGCAGCTGCAATCAATTACGACAAGTTAGCCGAGGATTAAGTCGACGATGAAAAATTGAATTCGTATCTCAATTGTATAATCCATCATTCTTTAAAGCTATAGAAATTTGTTTTATCTTTCAGTTCAAAGAGAGTATTTTGCGATATATCTAAGGGTCGTCCATTTGTAACCTCGAAGTTTCGCACAGCATTCCTGCAAGCAACACAAATTTTTTCGAATCCTGGTATACGTGCTACTGCAAAGCTAATGATCGAGCGATTTGTTTGGCCCGACAATCAACATGACAGTAAGTTGCTTGTGAAAAACTGCAATGCGTGCCAACGGAATAAAATCATCCGACACAACAAGAGTATACTATACCATCGATAACTTCCCAGCCAACGCTTCGGGTACTTACACATCGACATAGTGGGCCCGTTTCCGTTTCCGTTGTCGGAATGCAATAGGTATTGCCTTACGATAATTGTTAGAAACATCCGTTGGCCAAAGGCTTTACCAATACCAAACATGACGGCAGCGGTAGGTCTAAGCCTTTGCTTAATAGCTGGATTGCGGTTACATCTCAGATAGTCCATCCGTTGAATCCAATTATTAATGACTCGTTCAAGCATTTCGAATGTAATTGTCCATATAGACCTTAGACTTTACATATTGCTGATGATTCCATGATATATTTAGTCCCTTAGTATTAAGCGTAAAAAAAGTAAAGTATTGTGAATTGCACTTATAATTTTTTTTTTTATTTTTTGTTATTGTATCATTTTGGTAACTAAAATTATGAACAGTGATCAATTTTTTTATTTGCATTAGAGAAATGATTTTATAGTTTTAGTTAAAGGAAACACTAATCTATAAAAAAACACCTTTTTAATATTTTGTCAAAGCTCCTTTACTTTTTATAACGGCTTTTATACGTTCCGGCATTGAATTTATCATGTTTTTTATTGTTCCTGATACAATACCAAATATTATTCTACTTCGAGAATTTCATCCAATTCTGCTAAATTCATTATAAACCAAAGGTTTTCAATGGGATTGAGATCCGGACCTGGCCACTCCAAAGTCGCGACTCCGATTTTTGATAAATAATTCTGCATCTTAAAGAAAGTGAAATTTGTTATTAACATTGTAGTAATAAACTCAGGTTGTAAAAAAAAACTGATACTTACTATTTTGGCACGTGGTGGCAGGGCGCAGAGTCATCTTAAATTTGCCTTAAGTATCTCCTGTTACTTAGGTCCATTCACGGTTCCTTCTATTAGGGCTAGTTGCTCAAAGCTACCTCACCAGTTCTCCTTCTCACATAAGACATACCGTCGCTGCAAAAAAGGTTAAATTTGGACTAATTTGAGAAGATTACATTTTGCCAATCAAGTTGAGTTCAATTTTAATGTCCTTTTGTCCATCGTAAGCGATTTTGACGAATTTTAGAGTTAAAGTCGTTTTTAGTGGCCCGACCAGCGTTCAAACCAACCTCTTGAAGCTTTCAACGAACAGTTCTTGCGCTAA